ATTACCTCGTCGTGTATTGCGCTCGTTGCCTGATCCGCTGCCTCGTAGCATCCATCTCTGGAGGCATCAGTATCCTACATTTGACCTTGAGGATGTCGCTATCCCAGAGTGGAGGAAGTCTGAGCTAGACTTCGGTGCACCTTACCCTTACCCTGGGCTATGTCATCGGCGGTTCATACGAGGCACGCCCTGTAGCTATGCGGCTGTTAGTTATTGCCCCCCCCTCTGCCGCTGCTACTCCTGTCCATCATCTTTTCCTCCTGATCACCAGCACCCCCGTTCTTCTCTCCTCATCCTCCTCTGCATGACTGATATCGCACGTGTCTGTGCAACACACTGTCGTCATGTCACGTCGTCAGCCTCGTCATCAGCATTATCGGTACCAGGCAGGTATGCGTAGGACTGAAGGCGATCGGCTGACCTGCACAGGGGTGCCTCGCGAAGGACTCCTTGGTCTCCTCTTGGGACTCGGCTGCGGGGATTGGATGATGCGGAAAAGGGTTGTGCATCCTCTGGTACTTGGCTCCATCTCACCTGTGTGTCCACGATCTTTGTCCCCCCCCGCCCCTGCCTACTGGCGCACCACGCTGCAACGCGTTTCGCCTCCATGCCCCTTGTCTCGCCTCTCTCACAGTCCTGCTCGCTCCTCCTCTCTTGACGTCCCCTGCCACCCCCCTTCCCTACTGTGCATTCCCTCCTCCCCATCCTCCCGGTCCTTGCCCCCGTGTCCTGGTTCCTCCCCTCCCTCCCGCTTCCTTCCCTCCTCCCCCCTCCTGCCCCCCCTCCCGCCCTACCCCTTCCCCCTTCGTTCGCCTCCCGTGCCGTCCCCCCCCCCATCCACAACTACACAACACGAGTACTGCTGCCCTCCCTCACCCGAAGGCTGTGCTGAGAAAGGCGCGCCGTACTCTTGGGAGCCTTGGTGGCCATCTTGGTCCACTTCGGAGGAGAGATCGGTCAAAGAAGGGGTGGTACCATACTCCATTCCCTCCCCAGGAGGCCATGTAAATCAATGATGCATGCCTTCTCGCCGAGGCCTTCTTCGACGCCCGAATGGGTCGCGAAGCCTCCAGGTCCAGAGGTACGGAAGGGGTAAACCCCTCCCCGAAGGGGAAAGAAGGGGGTCGGAAGAGGAAACGCTCTAAATCACTCAAGCCCAGAGGGCTTGTTGGTTTTGATGCCACTAGTGGTGAACATCAGCCCGTGCGTTCCTAAACGATGTTCAGCATCTTGAGCACATGGCGTCTTAGTTGGGAGCGCTTTCCATTTCTCAGGAGGGGAAAACACAAGGACAAAAGCAATCGTCGATTCCCAGGAAGATGTGGGAACATATGGGAAGTGGATGGGGTAGACGAGAACCCCAAACATATGTGAAACTAAGGGGAATGCTTGGACTTGTGTGTCTATTTCTTTGTGTGCTCCGGGGCCCCTGAAAAGGATCACCGAGCCAGATCGGCAGGCGCCCCCCGCACGTGGGACGAGCCAGAGGCAGGATGTGTGGAGGCCTGCCCGAGCGCTCCTGCCGAGCTCCTTGCGCACGCTCCTCTCCTCATGGCGCCAGCATCGCTGGGCGGAGCTCGTTCGGAAAGCGGTATAGGACGGGCCCGGAGTGTCCTGGAGAATTTCGTTCCAGATTTCGAGGTGAATTTCGTGCGGATCTTTTGGGGCCAGGAATGAAGACTAACAAAAAATCCACGCGAAATTCACGTCGTTTTTCACTCGCCGTTTCGGGGTTTTGCATTTGACAGAAATCCGCGCGAAGATCCGCTGCAGCACGTCTGCAGGGTCGGTGCAGTGGCTCTTCTGCCTCGCCCCCTCCATGTTTTCAGGTGGGAGCTGGGTTTCCTGGAACAGGCTCCCCCATGGGTGCACCGTCTCCAGGCAGCCATGGCCTCTGCCCCGAACCGCACGTACGTCGGGCTGCCGCGCGCAGCTGGCGGACTTGAATCCCGCTCCTGTGCCTCTTCCCCCTCTGACGATCGGACTGGGGTATAAGATCGAGGTCGGTTCGGGGCTCGGGGAGGGTACCCTGATGTTTTTCGCGTTTGTTGGATGCTCTTGTGCATCCTGGGGGAGGGTACCCTCGAATGCGCTTCAGTTTGGCCAGCTGAGGGTCCCATGCCCTCGAAGGAGGTTCTTCTGTTCTAGGTCTGGTCGCACCCGTTGCCGCTCTCCCTGCTCATCCTCCGCCTTTCTCTCTGCCCCCGCCTCCCAGACATCCGGCTGCTCCAATTTTTTCGATGCGTGTTCCCTGGAGGCCCGGACCACTTCTCTAGGGCCGGCTTTTCGTCCTGAGTTGTTTTTTGACGCTCTCGATGACTGGCGAGGGCCCCTGGAGGCCAAAAACTGCCCAAATTCCAACGCTCTAATTTTTTTTGGAGCGTCAAATCTATTCCCTGCCCTCCCTGCCCTCCCTCCTTCCCCCTCCTCCTCGTCCTCCTCCTCCTCCTGCCGCCCGCCCGCAGAGCCACCATGGGGCTCTGGGGCCGCGCCGCCTAGGGAGCCGAGGGCAGGGCTTTTCTCGCGTGCGCCATGGCGGCCTCGGAGCAGTCTCAGGGCGATCATGTGGGGGACAGATCGGCAGAGGAGTCAGCAGAAGGACGAGCATGAGGACTCAGATGGGGGAGACCAAGGAGGAGATCGACGAAGAGGAGGGGGAGCATGAGAGTAGGGTGTGGATGAGGAGACGGATTGTGATGATGATGATGATGATGATGATGATGATGATGATGATGATGATGATGATGATGACGATGACGATGACGATGACGATGACGATGATGATGATGATGATGATGATGATGATGATGATGAGGAGGATGAGGATGATGATGAGGATGATGATGATGATGATGTTGATGATGCTGATGATGATGATCGTGGCGGTGGTGGTGGTGATGATGATACTGCTGATGATGATGGAGATGAGGACGCAGCTGCTGCTGATGACGACTATGACGGTGATGATGTGATGATGGTGCTGCTGATGATGCTGATGCTGATGCGGTTTCTGCTGCTGCTGATGATGTTGATCATGGTGGCGGTGGTGATTATTATGATGATGGTGATGATGATGATGATGATGATGGTGGTGGTGGTGCTGATGATGATGGTGGTGATGATGCTGCTGCTAATGATGATGCTGCTGCGGCTGATGATGATGATGATGATGATGATGATGAGTGTGGCGATTATGATCAAGATGACGAGGAGGAGGAGGGGGTGATGGTGGTGTTGATGATGTTGATGATGATGGTGGTAAGGTCGATGCCGGCGGCGACGATGTTGATGCTGCTGATGACGACGACCATGATGATATTGATGCTGCTGATGCTGATGATGCTGATGATGAGGATTGTGAGGATGATGATGCTGATGATGATGTTGATGCTGCTGATGATGCTGATCATGTTTGCCCTGCTGACAATGTTGATCCCCGCGCAAGTTCTTCCGCTCTCCTTGGGTCCAGAAAGGCTCGCAATCGGGTGGCAGACTCCAGGAGGGCTGGCGAGGAGTTTATTTAAGTTGACATGATTTGCATTTTTTGTGGATGGGGAGAAGGCTCGGTGGATTTTCCTGGACGAAAGCTCCTTTCAGCTGCTTTCGGGGCGACTCACCCAGAGCCAACGGGACAAGCTCACGCATGCCACGGGGCTCAAGGCTGCTGGGCAAGGGCTCCCTGAAGGTGTCGAGGTCCCACGGTCGGTCCAGGCGCTCCAGCACAAGCTTGTCGAACTCCAGAGGAAGTAGGAGCGCCAGGTCGAAGCCGCCAGGAGGGCCCTCCAGGCGGTGGGCGAGACCCAGGCACAAGTGGAGGAGACCAGGGCCCAACATGATAAGGCCCAACCAGGCGCAGCTAAGGCCCTGGTGGACAGCCCGTCTACGCAGGTTCAGGCTGCTCCCCAAGGGATGGGCGCCAAGATCCAGGAGCTGCTCTCCGCGTTCGCCGAAGGCCTGGCCAAGTCTGAGGGGGCCGAGGAGAGGGAGACGCAGCTCCTGGAAGGCGCTGGTCATTTCAAGGCCACCTTGGGAGAAGCCTTCGCGGCCTTGGGGCCCCAGGCCCCAGCGGCGGGCACGGGCCCTGCCGCCCGCCCTGCGCGGGCAGCAGCAGAAGGGGGGATATCGCCCAAGGGCGGAGGCAGAGCCGTTTCGGCCCCAGCGGCGGCAGTTCCAGCGGCGGGTGCTCCCATGGAAGGCGACCATGTTTCACGCGGTATTCCAGATGGTCTTGATGGTGACTCCCAGCGGCGCGAGCAGATCATCACGCCAGGCATGGGCAGGCTCAAGCGGGAGGAAGATCGCAACCGTTCCCCTGCAGGCAAGACACGGGGGTAGCCATGGAGTGGCCCAGAATAACGTAACCACGAGGAGCGGAACCCGTTCTCCCCTGTCGAGCGCTTCGGTGTCGACGCTTGCGGGGACATGGGCGTCTCGGCGCTCGGTCACCGAGCCTGCGGCGGTGGTGGCCCCGTGGATATTGCGCGGTGCGGGTCTCGCTGGAGGCACGACAGACGACGCCACGTGGAGCTGTGCTGGTCCGACATCTGCGCGGATGGCATCTCCGTGGGCCCAGGCAGGTTCGACGGCTGCGATTCGGCATCCCAGATGTATCATGGCTCAAGCAGTGGCCCGCTCCTCGTGGTGCTTGAGCCTGGGCCCCCTGGCGTCAGATCGCAAAATCCTGGTGTGCCATCGCGGTTGCCAGGCTCAGTCGCCACGGGCGCCAGACCGCAATTCCTGGCGTGCCATCGCGGCTACCAGGCTCAACGTCGCCACAGGGGCCTTCGGAGGGCTACTTCGGCGAGCCCGCCGCTGCCCTGACGGAGGAGGATGAGGCTGTCGTGGGGCCCATGGGCCCGCCGAGCGCCGCGAACCCCTGTCTAGGGATTGCCGCGGGCGCGAAGCGTGGGGGGCGCGCCGCTACTGGAGGGGTAGCGCGGGCGGGATCCGGCAGCCCGGAGGGGCGGCGTGACGGCCAGGGGGGAGGGGGGAGGGGAGGGGGGGTATGGGAGCAGTTCGCTGGCCTCGCGACCGCCCCATATGGTGGAGAGGTGTTCAGGTGCTGTTCGGCGATGCGTCCCCGGAGTTCGTTCGTCCTGGGGCAGGCGCAGCGTTGGGTGGCCGTCCTGGCGCAGCAGCGCCTGGGGCTGGCCCGCCTGCATCTCCTCAACGGCAAGTGCGTGCAACGTCGAAGACGGGGCCCACCTTGCCATGCCCAACAATGCCAGCTGAGCTAGCGACCCCGCAGGACATGGTACAGTACAGAACTGGTGGTGCCTGCGCTGACAGTCCGGGCGCACCCACTCCCAGCAAGGGCCAGGCTTGCGTTGCTGAGGTAAACCAATTGCAGGGGCGACAAGTTGTGGAGTTAGCTCCTGTATCTGGTGGTTGTGCTGACAGAGTGGGCGTTGATACTTCCAACGGGGTTCGCTCTTGTTTCTTTGTTTATTTCGCGAACATCACTTCCTGGAGCGACAAGACCTACGACTACTTCAAGAAACCTGGTGGGCAGTTGGAGGAAGCTAAGGTTGTCATGTTCGTGGGGGCCCATATCCGCGCGACCAAGCTCATTCAGACTTCGAAGAGGATTGCCAAGCTTGGATGGACATTCAGTGCGGCACCTGCTGTTGACTCGGCAGGGGGGGGGGGGCGGTGCGCGGACATGGAGGCATGGCCATTCTGGCTTGCAAGCATCTGTGGCGAGACCCGCTGACCGTGGCGGACCGTCTCTCCCTGGTGCATCAGCAAGGCCCTAGGTAGATGTCATACTTATCGCAGTATAGTTGGCACCACACCTGGGCATATCAGGGTCCAACTTCCAGATCCTCGAGGAAGCTGGCAACTATCTCATGGTGCAAGGGCGGCCATTCGTGATGGTCGGTGGCTGGGACAATACCATTCCTGAGATGCAGCAGTCTGGGCTCCAAGTCTTCCTGCGCGCAGGTTGGAAGGACCCAGCGGAGGCAGTTCCAGGGGGGCATCGGCTCATCGGTTTTGTGTCTCACCAGCCACGGAATGCATACTCTGGTTGATCTTGCGTGAAGTCAAGAAGGACCATGGGCTTCACCGCATTCGGGTGCGCGGATTAGACTGAGGATTGGAGAATTCAATATGCCCAAGGGAGTCATTGCGCCCCGCCCCGCGATCGACATGAGCATACCTGGGCCTGACTTACCCTGGGGTTGGCATTCTATTCGGGTTGAACAGTTGGGTGCCGAAGGACTGGCCAGGATCCAGTCAATCGTGTAGAAGATGGGAACGCGCACCGACATTGCAGTGGCAAGCCGAGGCTCGACTTTGCCCAGCAGCGCATGGCCTTCGCTTTGACGGCGAAGAGCTTCTGTACTCATCGCAACGCCGAGATCGACTTCTACGGTAGTGGGCATATCGAGGATGGGCAGTCCAGACCATGGAGGTTCCCATCGTCCCCGCGACGGCGATATGCTGGCCGGCAGCGTATCGTGGGCCCAGTGCTTGGGCAACTCTTCATGCGCGAGCGGCAGACTGGCTACCCCTTCGAGAGAAGCTGAAGGAGCCAGCGCAGATGGAGCACGCTTGGCGACTAGTCGATGCCTTCATTTGCACAGTCTGCTCTTAGCCACGCCTCCTGTCTCACGAGAGGGAGGGGCGCGCGTTGCGCATGGTCGGCAACAGTGCTACAATCAAGAATGTAGAGCGCTGCAAGAAGGAGCTCAAGGTTCTCGGTAGGACAGTCAAAAGCATCTAGCCCCATCTCGCGCGCACCGGCCCAGAAAGTTTCAAGGTTTGGATCCGACAGTCGCTTTCCGAAGGCGCAGGTGCGCTGCGTGATTGGACCGAGACGCGGGGTGAAGGGGCGCCCGATCTTGCTCCTGAGAGGCGCCCCGATGGTAGCTCAATTCGGGACGCCATAGAGGCCATCCATCAGGGGGCCAACTTCTGAACAGCCCCGTGGCGCTCGAAGGATTTTGCGGGGCCCGAAGGCTTCTGGGAAGTGTTTGCTCTGGAGGCCAGCAGAGAGCCCCTTGAGGACCTGCGGCGCAGCAGCTCCCTGAGACCCTTGAATCTTTAAGAGGAGTAGTCGGAGTCGGGGCTGATCAGCAGAACCCGAACTGTTGGCGCAGGCTCCCCGATGAAGGTCTGGAGGACCTTCTGGATGTTCTAAGGAGAATCGAAGCAGCAGGGGCCTGGCCACCCCAAGTTTTCCTCGACCTCGCACAGTTAATCCATAGAAGTCAGGTGGCCGATCGGCCCATCACCCTGGCGCAAGGATCGCATCGGACGTGGGGGAGGGCTTGGAGGTGGGAGATTGCTTACTGGAGTGCCCAGCGGACCCAGCATTGGGACAAGGTGGTGAGAGGTTGCTCATCGCTCCGTGCGGCACTCATGCGACAGTGCAAGCTAGAGATGGCGACGGCCCAGGGATTCCCCTGGGCCGAGATTATTTGGGACGTTGATAAAGTTCTACGGCCGCGGTCGGCTTTTCCAGGTGGCCAGCGTGGCCAGGAGGGTCGGCTATCCCCTTTTCCAGTGCTAGCGCTCGGTCTGGCCGTGCACCGAGGCCCGAGGAGGCTCCGC